GTCAAATGAGAATCCAAAGTAATTCCAAGATATTTGTAGGTAGTGACAATATCAAGGGGGTTGTTTAAAAAAGTGAGTTGTGAGTTTCCACAGGTTTAAGATGTTTTAGTGAAAAACAAAGCAGGTCTTTGAACATGAGGTCTCTGGACTCTGCCGTCTGCACAGATCTGTTCTTTCACAAAYGTTTTCAGAGGAAAACCAAGAGAGCACTTCTTACAGGCTGTGAGGGAGTCTGGGCTTTTGTGCTGTGTGTCCTCGACTGATTCTCTCTCATTTCCTCCTGCTCTTCATCTGCCTCCTCTTGTCGACAACTCGACTCTCTCTCCAGCTCTTCCTGTCCAAAAGAGACGAGACTGAATGAACTTCAAAGACTTTCAGCTGCTGTTTTATTTTTTCTCTCGCTCTCACCTGTGCTCTTCTCTTATTTTCCTCCTCTTCTTCTTCTTCTCCCCTCCTCTGCTTCCATGCTCTGGTTATGTGTTTGGCTCTCTTCTTCTGCAGCAGAGGAAGTAGCTGCTCCTCYGGGACCATGCTTCTGAGCTCGTTAAACTCGGGCCAGAACCTCAGCAGCTCGTTGAACACCGACGCCTCGATGAGCAGAAAGAAACCTGAGTAACGCCCGCAGGGGAAGAAGAAACCAAACTCTCTCACCCACAGGAACACACACCTGCGCTTCTCTAAAGATGTACGGGCCGAGCTCGTGACGTTTCTCCAGAATAAGCTGCGCCTGATCCGGGGGGATGTCTATCTGCAGGGTGGGGGGCACGGAGGAGCTGATGAAGCAGCTGATGATGATGGAGATTTTCTGCTGGATGGTGGCTTCATCACTGTGGGAGTGACAGAGGTCCTTTTTCATACAAACAACAGKGAGAAGCAAAGTATTTTAATGAGGTGAGGGGAAAAACAGGTTGGATTTTTCTGGGGTAATGATGAACTCAGAACTGAGCAAATCAGCTGTAATTTGTGGTGATTTATTATAAAATAATAAGAAATAAAGAATAGCACAACTAAGATGTAAATATTCAGCAAGGTTTCAATGAATCAAGGAGCCAAAACATGAGCTTATAATTCAGTAAATAAACTAAAGCCTTCTAATCTGTCAGTAAACACATTTAAATTTACAAACATTACTCACATACCAAACCATAAAATAAACTTGAAATCAGTCATAAAATAATAATCTTCTATACATGTTCAGGTCAAAGGTTAGCCTCCAGCTAGATTTTACCTTGTACTTCTGCACCTCCACCCAGAAACGCACATCATTCTGCAGGAGGTCTCCCTTCAGAGAGACAAAGAGCTGGAACTGCTCRCAGGTGGTTGGGTCCAACAGAACCCGTCGAAACAACATGAGCTCTGTGGAGGAATTCATCCACCGCCCCTGAACCTGCACAGGTAAAACCAGTGATAGGTCCACAACGGGAGGAGTTACAAACATTCACCTTCATTAAGTTCTGGTTCTGCTCCAGGTTCTCCCTCCAGAGAGAGGACGATCAGACGCTTGGACCACCTCAGCTGAGGGTCTACTGTGAGCTCCTCACCTTGTTAATCCTGAGCYTAACCTCCCTACAGAGGAAGTCCTGTTCATTCAGCCCGTTATTCTTTCAGGATGGAAAGAATGTAGACTGATCAGTCAATCAAGAGCTCCTTCATCACGTCAGACTGGACCGACTGTCTTGTTACTGCGAACAAGGTTTGGGTTGGTTTCTCTATCCTTCCATGCCTCATGAATAAAACTCAGAGGATCAAACTCTTCCTCTTGAGGCAGAGACTCGTCCCCAACCTGGAGGCAGCATGCCACCATTTTCCAGTTGAGAAGCACGGCCTTGTAATGAGAGGAGCTGACTCACACACACACAAGTCATTTTAGAAGACAACATCGACTACACTTCATTTAATTTGAGAGATATTTACCCAAAACTTGAGGTGGTAAGGTAGTAGCTGAGACTGATCACTAATACACATTTTGAGCATTTAAAGGAGGTATTGTGTGTTTTCCAGGCGCACAGTACATTTCTATACAACAAACAGTAGCTATGTTACTTCAGTTGTTATGAATTGTTGTATGAATGAATAATAAATCTGACTTTGCATCTAGACGCCTTGAAATTAGCCTCTGTCTCTTTTAGAACCTCCAACCGTTTCTGACACCCCCACTTCAGCACGTCATCACAACAATGCTTCAGGGGATAGGGGCTMTGTGGAGCTCGGCTACATACTGAGCTTCAGGGAGGAGCTTTGTACAAATAGGCGGAGCTTTGTACCAACAAGTGTTTAGGCAGCTCCACATGACTACAGGAGATTCAAGTATGTCAAACATGCATGAATGAGTCAAAGCAACACTCTGGGTATGTTTAACATTTAACATTATAACATGATATAAAGCTTAATAGCGTGCTGGTAAAACAGTTTTYCACCAGAAAGGGGTTCCAACTGAGATCAAATCTTTCCTGTAATGTTCTGTTTGTGGTGCTAAATGTTCGTGTTTTAAATCTGCCATGGAGACAGAAGGATGGGAACAAAGCTGTGTGGAAAATACAAAAAACTCTTAAAGTTCAGTGATCCTTGAATTTTATTCATCTAGGGTCTGATTTGGGAAAATAATTCYAAGGTCCGAAGTGTGTCTGACAAAGCTGGCGCTTAAAGCCAAGTCAAACAGAATCCCAGTGCCCTCAGGACAGGAAATACCTCATTTCTGTCTGTTTACAGTCTTCACACTCCCTGGAGGATTTCTTCTTACCTTCCAGGCTTCTCTTCTGGCTCTGCGTCGGCTGTAGATGTTGTGTGAGAGCCGGCCTGCTGTTCGCAGCTACCTCACAGAAACACAAGACACACAAAGGTCAGAAGTCAGGAACAGAGTGTCCTGGGACTGAGAGAAGGAACTGGGCATCTCTTCAATCCCCCTCCATTGTTCTCTTTGTTATAATCTTACAGAGTTGATTTTTCCCCAGTCTTCTCTTTAAAAACYGTCTGTCGTCTGCCTGCCTGATCCTATCTGTCCTCCTCTTCACCTTTTACACATCTCCAGAGTCTAAAGAGTGTAACGCTAACCTGCGTGTCTCTCATTACTTAATGAGGAGTCGCTGCATCAGTAARCATTGTACACTTGATAACATGATGAGATGAAGCAGACAAATTTGTGGCCTCCGTGTTTCRTCTGACAGAGCAACCTGAGAGACTCTGACAGCACTTAGTGATCCAGCTCACACATAATGTGAGTCTCAGTTTGYACTCAGCAGCAGCAAACCACAGTGACACTGCTGAACATGGCTGTCACCTTTTCTCTGACTCTGATAAAACAAGCTCAGTCCTAACAAGGCTGGGACAGTTAATTCAATGTAAATACAAACAGATTGTGTCACTGGAACACAGTAAACATATCAAATGTTTGACTGGAGGTTCATCTGTCTGTGAAAATCTGCTGAAATAAACTATTTCAGAATAAGGTTCCCTAAAGCAAACGTGGGAAAACTTTAAAAACCCACCATTTACAGTTCAGAAGATCTGACAGATTTTGAGAATCCAACTGATCTTAACGAACTGCTTGTTTCATCGAGYCATTCTTGAACGAGTTACGTCATCATGTATGGCGTATGTGATGACATCATCACGTCACGTGGGTGGTGCCATGAGTTTTGTCAAGCAGAGCCCCCTTTGCCCCTTTCCTCCTGAGCTGCTGTTCTCCACCACTCTGCCTGTCTTCAGTGATAAAGTGAAGGAGAAGAGATTGTGTCTGTGGTTAAAAAGGAAAAAGATATTACGAGGAATAAAAAACTAAAACAACAAACGGCTCTTTACTGCCGAYGACTCGATTCCTATTGTTCATTATGAGACACTGTTTGTGAACGTCACATCTCTGATGTGACAGGCAACTTTACAAAAAATATCATGGATGTACAATATGCATCAGCATATTGTAATATTATTAGTGGTAAAGAAAATGAACGATAATAATTTAGCATGACTTACGTTTATTACTAATTAATAAATTGCTAATAGGGTAGAACGTGTTTAAATTGGGAAAGTTCTAAAGTTTTCACTCTAGAACAGTTCACAAAATAACGTTACTGGCAGCTGCTTTAATTATTGATGCGCTGCAGGATTTGTAGATRGTCAATTTAAACATTGTCTGACCATTAATACATGTCTAAAAGATGGTGTGACAGTACATTTATACAAGCATAAATACATATACATAMACACAAAGTATATAGAATAGTTACTTCATGAGTTATTAAGCATGAATWAACAATGAGTGTGTTGGTTTTGAAAGTAATTAGACTTTATGGGTAAAGAATTAATAAATGTGTTCATTTATAAMCTATTAGGTATAAATCATCATTAATTAACCACTTATTAATGATTGAGTAAAGCTAAATRAAGTGTAGTTGTTATAAATTRTTACCAAATCAATGAAAAACTGGTCTAAATCTATCTTTGTTAAAAATGTGTCCTCCAGTACTTTAAATCATTAAYGTCAGGCCTAAAATGTTGGTGACGTCTAAAACTGAAGCTGGTAGAGGTGGGTAAAAAGAGGACTGGACAGAGACGAACATGTAAAGCTGTTCTGCACGACCAGTTAAAAAATGCAGGTTTTAGCAGCAGAAATGTGTGAGGAATCTGACCGACAACCTTCTGTTCGCGTTTCTGTCGCTCAGTGAACTCCTCTGCAGACAGAAACAGAGGCAGCCATGTTTCCTCCATGTGTTTCCTGATGATKTCCTGGACCTCCAGGACCACTGGGTCTGAGAGACTCGCTGACGTCAGACRCTCCAGTCCACCTGCCCGACGCACAAGCTGCACATAAAAGAAATCAGGCACAGATATGCTGAATATGATGAAAGTTAAATATGGTTTTCTGTAAAATCCCAGTAAAAACAACATATGACAAAATAAACAAGAGAAACGAAGACAAACTGTGGAAAACCCCACAGAAAACATGTCTGCTTCCTGCCTCCTGCTGTGCTCTTCATCGTTCCCACAATCCTCCTCCCTGGTTTGTCCTCATCCATCAGTCTGACCGTGTCCCCCCACCCCCCTTTATTTATTTATTTTTTATTTCTTTATACTTCAGTTGTATTATGCACGCACACGGGCATGCCTGCTCTGATACGTTCTCAGGGGCTTTRGAAATGAGAACCAGTCATGAAGTCAGGAAATGAAAGGGGGCATTGTGTGACTGAAGGAGCGAAGGGCCAAAGCTGTAAAGCTGTCAGTGTCTGTGTCAAACAGAACCAACAGAAGAGCTGCTGCTGCCAGAGACAGTCCTCCAGGGACAGTCCTCCAGGGACCGTCCTCCCAGGGACCGTCCTCCAGGGACCGTCCTCCCAGGGACCGTCCTCCCAGAGCTGCATTGATGTACCTTCACACCAACGATGAAGTAAGAAATAAAGTGATAAGTAATTATCGCCTGCCATCAAATGCAAAATGACCATAATGTTTTCCCCCATCTGTGTGTTCATTTGTTTGTTGTGTTAGCAAAATATCCACTCATGCATTGAGCATTCTTTTAAGAATGCTAGACAAAGGTTTCAGTTAGCTAACAGTAGTAAACAGTGGAAACAAAGACTGACAGTGTTTTCTGTAAATACTTTGGAGCCACTTTAGAGCTGGAAAGATAAAAGCGGTCCCACTGCTGCACGTCCCATCAAGTCCCCCCCCCCTCGTGTCCTGTCCTCCTGCAGCAGCGTAATCCTAGAATCCAGAAACCTAATCTGCAGCTATAAATGTCAGGACCAATTTCATCCGCCTCTGGTTGGAGCTGGTTCTGATCATCTCTGTCTTTCTGAAACGGAGCCACGTACCTCTCGTCTTTGTTTTAATTCTAACCACGCCGGCTCATCCCTGACTCCCTGCCAAGCCAAGAGCTGTCTGACCGTCAGCCTGCAGCCGACAGGATGCTGGGTGAGGGAGAGGGAGGGTAGCGTGAGAGCTGCAGCAGCCTCTGTTTATCAGTTCTGGATGATGAGCCCCCGTCAGAACTCAGAKCCCACTTTGAAATGTTCGTGTCAGGAGCAGTCATCTCTACCACCAGATCTGTGGGACTTTCCCAAATGTTTCAGACTCTCTGATGTGACAGAACTAATATCAGTGTTTACTAATTTCACCCCCACCAGAGGCAGAGGGATCTTTTTGTTCTGTGTGTATGTTTGTCTGTACTGTTAGCAAAATATCCCAGGAAACTCAAAATGAGCATTTAGTTTGTCTTCATCGCTAACTGCTACCAAACTTTTCCACTTACAATTTCAATMAACTCTTTCCATCTGTTAACAAAATATCTCATGAACCACTGCAGATTGCTGACAGGAGATTGAATTAATGCTGGCTGTGTGTTCATCTCATCATWAAATATTTTAGTCTAAAACTCTGCCATGAAAGTTGGTGGGCATCACACATTTGAGGAAAACTATTAATAATGTAATTGATTACATAGTTTTGTTGTTCTGTTGTGGCAGGGCTGTCKGAGCCAAAGTAGTACTTCTCATTCAGGTATTTGGCTACAATCTGAGACGACCGCTCSTCTCTGATGTCCTCGTCCTCCTGAGGAGTCTTCTTGTACTGCTCCAGCTCCAACCAGCACATCAAGTGGATGCTGCACAAGAACACAAATGCTCATAAAATCGATGGAGAACACAGCTCACTGCGTACTGTTCAATATTCCATTGCACTGCTCACCTGGCATCTTGTTTCTGTAAGAAAGACATAAAGTGCTCCATCTCACGAGGCTGCTGAAGTAAGGAACTTAAACGACGTCCGTGGTAACCTGGAGACACGCTAGACCAGGACTCATGCAGCTGCGAACSCTCAGAGGAGTCAGTGGATGGATGAAGAGCTGAAGATAAAAGCTTAGACACACAGCAGACACAGCAGAGAGAATAATGAAAAAAATATATTTATATCAGAATCAGCAGATACGTATGAGATTAAAGACTGTAAACACTACGTCTAGTAAAGCATATGAAGTATTTCAAATGTTGAAAAGTCTTAAAAAGTATTAACTTYTCTTGATCTTTTCCACATTTTATCACAATACAACTTCAAACTTCAAAGTATTTTACTGGSATTTTATGACAGGCCCACACAAAGAAGGTTTTCAAAACTTTAACATCAAAAACCTGAAACATGGCGTCAACCTTTACCCCGATACTCTGAACTAAAACTGCCTTCAGAAGTCACCTAATACACAAAAACTGCCGTACAAATCCTGGTGTTCCCTGAACACACGACGGCTCAGTGGTTAKCACCGACGCCCCACAGCAAGAAGGTCCTGGGTTCAGGTCCAAGAAGGTTCCCTGGTTCGGACCTGGGGTCTTTCTGTGTGGAGTTTGTATGTTCTCCTCGTGCTTGTGTGGGTTTTCTCCAGGTACTCCGGTTTCCCCTACCCCCAAAAATATGTACAATAGGTTGCCTTCAGGCCCAGGCCGCCCTTGAAAAAGACACATCTCAATGGGACTTGACTGGTTAAATAACGGTAAATAAATAAATAAAATAAAAGACCTCAGAGGTTTGTTAAAGAACAACAGTGATCAAACAGGACCATAAAGACCAAGGAACTGTGCAGGGTCACAGAGGAGCTGGTGCCTAGCTCCAGTGGTCACTGAGCAAGAGGTGGAGTCCCACCTGGAGTCCTCACAGGACCACAAAGAGACAAACAAGACAGACAACCATTTACATGAAGAAAACCCATTGATGCACACAGAAAAGACCCAGGCAGGAGGCAAACATGCAGAAACTCCGTCAAAACTGAACAAGAGATAAACGTATATTTATGTAGAGGTCTGGTTAAAGTCCTGATCTGGATCCAATCTGGGTTTGAGCTTTTCTTCAACACAGTATGAGCAAAGCCCCAAAAACCTGCAGCTTTAAGATGGTCCTACAAAGTTTTGACTCTGTATGAATAAATACAAATGCACACCACACYTTAGATCCARCTTTGTGAAAATTWAACATAAAATCCATGRCATCATTCCCCTCCCATTTCAGGATTATGCACARCTTTGTGTTGCTCCATCAGAAAATCACAGGAAAATTTGTGGATTAAATGTTACTTTTTCAAGGTTCTGTTTTCAGCACTGATATTCAACACATAATCATTTTCATAAATAAACCGACTCATGAACCAGTCATCAACATGTTTGACATCATGGAGCTGTGTGATGTGAGCAGACCTGTCCCGGCCGTCGCTCTGATTCTTTGAGGTTTTGGAGTTCCCTGTAATCAACGCACTGCACCTCATCCTGYAGACTCACCTGGACAAACACAAATATTTTACTAGAAGAATTATTTAGTCATCTCTTAAACCAAAATATGGTTCCAAGTCCTCAAATCTGAAAACTGAGCTGCTGCATCATTGCAAGAGCTTGGAGATTTTAATTTTTTTTATCCTAGATGTTTTAAGGATGAGAGGTGGTAATAAAAAGGTTGGTCCAGAACCATCAATGGTAATTCTGAGGACAGATTATAGATAAGTTTGATTGTTTAAGAGTCAAAACAAGGAAGTTTATCTGCCTGAAAGATGTTCTGTGACCCCAGCTGTTAACGAGGCCTCTGCAGTGGGATGCAAAAGTATTCAYGCCCTTTGTAATCTGTTGTTAGTTTGTTACTCAAACAAAAACACTTCAGTACTTGAACCGGAGGGTACCCTCCTGACCCACTGGGCTGAATCCTTTCAGGTTTGTGAGGACATCATCACCTGTCAATGTTTTTGTAAACATAACAATGGATGAATGAAATGGATTAAAGTRAAGATTAGCYTTTWTTTTTMATTRGTTTCTCAATCACTCTAGACWGTGTTGGGAATTATTTAAAACYTTTTTTTTCCATTTAACCTCATAAATCTGGAGTATTTTCTGTGGAGTCATTGCCTAAAAGAAGTGTGAATATSCATTTAAATTCCAGGCTGTGAGACAACGAAACAAAGATTACAGAGGAGGACAATACTTTACAACCCACTTCATGAGTCAAAACAGTAGTTAAAAAAGGAACCAAGTTTTCCCAGATACAAGGTTTGTATATTAGTACAAACACCTGCTGGAGTGACTCTCTGTCCCTGTGGAGCAGCAGAGTCCACGGCTCCAGCAGGATACTGAGTGCATGATCCTCAACATCATCAAACAGTTTCTTAAAAGCAGGCCTCAGTYGGTTGTACAGGGTGTCGTACACCTCCCTCTGGACTCCTGCAGCAACATTAATGCTCCTCCTGGCAGAGCTGCAAACATACGTGGAGTAAAGGAGCTGGGGAGGAGAGAAGGAAAACTGTTCAAGTCAAAACCACAATCACTTTCATCATAGCCATCACTCTGTGCTCCTACAATATTACTTTCTCTCATCAGTGCTGCCATCACACCAAATAAATGTCACTCATWTAGACCTGCTGGCCGCGGGGCGATGGAAATAGTTTTATTTATTTTATTAACCTTTATTGAAGCGGGCAAATCCCACTGAGATCACACATCTCTTTCAGGGGAGGCCTGGAGGAAGCCTAACACGCAGGTTTGTGGACCGTGGGAGGAAACTGGAGAAAACCCACACAAACATTAGGAGAACATGTGAAAGACCCCAGATCCAAACCAGGGTTTGAACCCTGGACTTTTAGACTGTGAAGCAACAGTGTGAACCATTTATCCACTACGATGCCCAGAGAACTAAATGTCATGCCTCTGCTGAACCGAAAGTCAACTGACARAATAAATACRTTTGAAAAAGGTTTCACTCTGAGGTATCCTGGACCAAACTTCACTGTAGGCAGGTTAAACGGATCTTAAGGGACTGGACTGAAGCAAAGCTGGAAGAGTTTGAGTCACAGGCTTTCATGGCCGAACATTTCTTAACTTAAAATTAAGGGAGGATTGTGTGAAAAGAGCAAACAAGGAGTCTGAAAATATGTGTTAGCAAAAAGGTTACCACTAAGCAAATTCTAATTAAAGTCTTTAGTTATTACAACTGGTTAATTATTGGAGTCAACACAATTCAAGATGGYCGCCAAAGTAAAATGACCTTCAAACAGAAAAATGGATTTAATGCACTGGAACCTGCAGCCTCAGCGTTAGGAGAGTGTGGTACCACTGAGCTACCTCAAGCTGCAACAACTCTGTCACTTCTCACCATWCGATTATTTCTGTCAAACTCTGGCATGAAGGCGGCAGGCTATATGCATTCATTTCCAAGAATGTTTGGTCTGTAATGTTCTWATTGTTCATCTGTTCTGACTGATGATGTGAGCTGACCTGTGCTTCTCTCTGAACTCTGTAAGAGTCCAGTCCRTCCTGACAGAACAGCTCGTGGTACTGCAGCAAGTCTGTCCAAAAGTAAACTGCATTCACCCACAGCTGAAACAGAGGGAAAAAAAAACTACATGTTAAAAACTCAATCTTTAAAATATAAAGCTTTAACCCTGGCAAAACTAATTTAACTAACAACCAATAATGATAGTAAAAGAATTTGACATGTGTAACATTKTAGACAAAACTAAATGTTTGTTAGTGAGCAGCAGAGAGCAGTTTATCTAAAGATAACTGATGGGACTGAGGTGTCTGATATTATTTTAACACTAACATTCCAGGGCTCAGATCATACCTGGTTTCCAGATTGTTCACAGAAGTGAGTGAAGTACCACCCAGACTGGGATTCAGCACTGAGAGCCTGCAGCAGGGTTTCAGCTCCTCCACAGAACAACTGAGGTCTGCTGTACAGCAACTATTGACACACGATTAAAAAAAATGTGAAGGAATTTTCCAGGCACATAGTTTAATTCTATACCACAATCCAGTAACTGTTACCTTCAGTTGTTATTAAAAATGCTGTATAAAGCGGGTAAAATAAGTATTGAACACGTCAACATTTTTCTCAGTAAATATATTACTAGAGGTGCTAATGACATGAAATTTTCACCAGATGTCAGTAACAACCCAAGTGATCCATACATACAAAGAAATCAAACCATAACGGAACTAATACTTTTATGTTTAAGCAAGTTATTCATGACATCCTTTAATGACCTAGGTTTTCATGACATGCTGTTCGTC